CTGTGCAACTCTAAACTTAACGAACTGGCATTCTGTGGGAACACACCTGTAAGATCCCTGTTCCATGAGTTGGCTACTGCTTGGTGGGTAAAGGAGGTGAAAGCAGTTGTCAGTAACTGTTCCACAAGGTGCTGTGAGTTTAACTTACTGAATAAGAGTATTAATACTTCAAAGTTACAGTAAAAAAAAAAACAAAACAAAACGAAGCACTTTTGAGTTTCTGTAGTGCCCTCGTGTGTCCAGATCTGGTAGTATGAACTTGCAGCACTGGTTGGTGTAGGACTCGCTCCCTTCAAAATACAGAAAGTTTAGAGTGTTTTTAGGTCCTTTCTCACTTACCTTTCTCCTGAAACTCCTCTGCTGGGGAAGGGGAATCCTGGTCTGGTCTCTTTCCTGTATTCTTATCCAGAGTCCACAAAAGGTGATTTAATCTGTGTACTTTGTGTTCTCAACAGATTGAGAGCAGTTATGTTGTTTATGTCTTGATTCAGGGAAGGGTTTGTCTTAGCATAGCTCTTAAACTAGGCTGGTCATGGTCATTTAAATAGAATGCTTAGATGAACGCTGAAGGAAGGGGTATTGGGGAAGGGAACAGCGGCCAATTCAGCTGAATCTTACCTGATGTTAGTTGCCTCTTCAAGTTGAGGAAATTCTGTATGGAGATGGGCAAAGAGGAAGAAAGATATATAGGTCTAAGATGAATGCGACTCGTTAGACTTGCTGCTTTTACTGATAAGTGGTTTTGGCCAAGACCCCATAAAAGGACGTGGAGATCTAGAACTTTATCATATTTGATGGGTTCTGAATATAGGCATTAACACTCAAGCCAAGAGAATTAGTACTTGCTTGAGCTTTACAGCAGACAACTGTGCTTATATTCACTTTTCATTTTACAGAGTAATCTTTGTTTTTGTTCCTCAGGAATTCTTTGTGTTGCTGACCAGTGTCATGGACTTAAGGAGCTGGCTTTGAACTACTACATATTAAGTGATGAACTGCTCCTGGCTCTTTCAAGTGAAAAACATGTTGATCTTGAGCACCTTCGCATAGACGTTGTGAGTGAAAATCCCGGACAGGCTGAATTTCACCCTATTAAAAAGCAAAGCTGGGATGCTCTTGTCAAACACTCCCCCAAAGTCAACATTGTGATGTATTTCTTCTTATATGAAGAAGAATTTGATGCTTTCTTCAGAGAGGAGACCCCTGTTACGCACCTTTATTTTGGTCGTGCAGTAACCAAAGCAATGTTGGGTCGTATTGGCATGAATTGCCCAAGGCTAATTGAGTTGGTTGTGTGTGCTAATGGACTTCAACCTTTGGACGATGAACTTATTCGGATCGCAGAGCGCTGTAAGAACTTAACAGCAATGGGACTTGGTGAATGTGAAGTAACTTGCAAAGGTTTTATTGAATTTGTAAAGATGTGTGGGGGCAGGCTTACCCAGCTTTCTATTATGGAGGAGGTACTGATTCCAGATAATGATTATAGCTTAGATCGACTTCATTTGGAAGTCTCCAAACACCTTGGAAGAATGTGGTTTCCTGATATGATGCCAACATGGTAAATTCTCTGCATTTCTGGGTCAACTTGTAGAATCAGGGTGTTGCTTTCTATGCAAATAAAGGATTTAAAAAATGAAATGTGGGGACTTTATTTCCTGATTTGAATTTTTTCTACCATGAGAGCCTCTAGCAGTGTAACAGCAAAACATTCTAGAATGTTAATGGTATCTTGGAACAGAAAATAGATGAAGTGTACTTAACACTTTCTGAAAGTATGGCTGTGGTTTACGGGTGCTTCAAACTTCAGTGAACTTGGGTTTCTCTGAGCTTCAGTTTAAATGTTCCATTCACATTGAAGGTTTTTTTTTTTTTTTCATGTCCTTGTTTAGTCTTTCCAATGTAGTCAGAAGAGGACTAGAGAAACTTTTTTCCTTTATCAAATCTAACTTTATGGGACGCTGGATACAACTTGGAGTTCAGGAAAACCATATGGTTTGTCATATAATGTTTTATGCAGCTATTTTTCAAGATACTCATGTTATAAATGTAAAAGCTTGTACATTAAAATACTTAATACGAATACTAGCCCAGGTTACTCAAATACAATCTAGCTTGAACTCATGCCAGTATATTAAAATGTTGTGGTAAATAAGCTTATGCTTTCAAAAAAATTTTCCAGTTTTAAATTGCACTTTAAGTAATTTTGTCAGACTAGCTAAACTATAGAGACTGCATTGTACAGTATGTTGTTTTTCTGTCTTATGCATTAAATGGATGGGAAAAAAGACCTTGTTAAAACTAATGAATGTAAAAGTTTATATCTAGGTTGATTGCTTGGGTGAATTACAAAACACTTTGGAAACTGACAGAGTATAGGAATAGCTTCTGGATTTGGGAGAGTTCGAGTCTTTGATTACAGAGGTTGATACCTGAATGCTGTTCCATGCTTTCATTATTAAGGGATAAGAAGGACCTCATAAATGTGGATAGTGAGAAGGAAAGATCAAATGGAGTACAGTTGTCTTCGATCACTTTCTGTCTGGAATCATGGTTTTAGAGCACTTAAAAAAAAAAAAAAAAATTATTAGCCAGTTAGAGGCCAAAATGGCCTGTAGTAACCTTGCCTGTGCTGTAAGCCCTGATTTTCTGGAGTAAGGGTCGCTGGAGGTGACACTGAAATGTTTAATTTAGAGCTGCTTAATACTTGTTGTGATTAATTGGTTTTTGAGGAAGAAGATTTTACTTTATTTGTTTTCTTTGAAGTGGAAAGAAATAGTGAGTTGATGAATTCGAATGTGTATTTTTATGTAGATGGTTTTTTACACGCTGTAAACTGAAACGCATTGTATTCAAATTTTGCTGTAATTATTTTTATGCTGTAGTTGTTGTAGCTCCCTATATCTAATGAGAAGCCTGCATTTGATTTGCTGGTAGTATTTGTCACATCAGATAAAATGTCACTTTCTTCCACACTTAACTGCAAAAGTAACAGTTAAAGGGTTAAACCACCATTGTCTTGGACAGACATGTTCCCTGTTGCAAGCTAAAGGATTTAAGATAACAGGTCGTGCCTGTCTGAATCAGTAACGCAGTACTGACTTGCGCACTTAAGAAGCATCTGGCTGGTTACTAGCACCTGTTACCCAAGCACTTCCTTCCATAATCAAAGGGATTATAATTGACTTTTAAACAAAAGACTGAAATATTTCTGAACAGTATTTGGTTTGAGATGTGTGATTTGCTTTAAATGTAAACATAATAAAGTGATCGAATACATGCACTGACACCAGACTCTCATCTATCTGTTGCACCACGTCCTCCTGTTAGGCAAGATTCTGCCCTGTTAGAAGCCATATACTTGACAAACCTGGGGAGAGGCAGTAGACACATTTAACTCCTGGATAATAGTGAATTAGTCATTGTCGTTTCATGTTTGTGCCACAAACTTGAGGATTTTTGACATGCTGAAACTGTAAAATGCATTGTGGACAAATCTTGTAGGTGGTTGGTAGACTCCTGGAATCCTTCGTGTCTCTCTAGCCAACATAGCGGCATTGATGAAGTATCAGACACTAGTGGCTGTGGACAGAGTTATAATTCAGGAGGAAACTGCAAAGATGCTGCTTGGAATATTGTCCCATTCTCCGACCCTCTTACTAAGGCAGCTTCTCTGTGAAGCTGTGAGTGTTAGCTTGCTCTAGCTCCAAGCTTCTAGAAAAATGGGCCTGCATTTATTAATGTTGTGAACTTTGATGCGATGATTTTTTTGTTCACTGATCTTAGCAAGTAAGACCCATTGATACTTGATTTTGTAACTAAACGCCAACAGAATTGATTACGTGAGTCTGTGAAATTCTGATTCTTCACTGGTAGTGTGGGAAGCCAGTTCTAACTGAAAGGTAACCTCTGACATCATGTTAGTGTTGAATTTTATAGTTTCAGTGTTGGATTTGTTTAGTGTCATGTGTTGGTGCTAAGGTACGTGCATTGCGCTTTGGGGAGGAGTGTCACAACACTGCTGCGTGCAAAGCAGTGTTGGTTCTTTTCCCTCTTTAGCAGGCGGTCCTGAAGCACTGCGGTGGTGGAGGTTTGGCGCTTGGCGAGAACCTGCAGACAGCTGCCTGCTGCCTTTGCTGCCTGCCGTCCCTTCAGCAGCCTGTGCTTCAGAGCGCTGCCTTGTCCCAGCAAAGGCAAGTTTTGTCGATTTTACTGGCTTTTCCTAGTTTCACTGCCCTGCAAAGGCTTTCTAAAACCCTGTCTCTGGAGTGTATAACGCAATGATAGTTTGTTGGAGTAACTAAAACCCTTGAAATGAAGTACAGAACTTACACCTGATCTTTTAAGGAGGTTTGTAGGGTCTCTAAATAGTCCCGAGTGACAGTGAGCAGCTCACAGTAGTGTGCCTTCCCTGCCACATGAGGGGGTGAGGTAGTTTTCATGCTCGCTGACTTTTCAGACTCCTTAAGAAAGCTTGTAATTAGTCATTGCTAATTTCACGATACTTTTGTAAAGGCAAATTCTAACAGACAGCTCAAACCTTTTTTCCGTGTGTGGAGTCCCTTTTGCCATCCAGTAGAGTCACTGGTTCTGGCATGACAACTCAAAGCAGCATCTTTATGCCTTGTGGAGTGCTTCAACAAATTTCCTTCTGCTTTTGCTTAGTTCAGGGGCCTTCAAAATCTAAAGTAACCTTGTTTGCCAAGGTGTAGCAAAGTTTGTCAGGTAGCCTAAGATGCAATGTTCACAACAATTAGGGCTACTTAAACAGTCCCTAAATAGTATCTGGAGTGTATATTAATGTTAGAACCTTGCAGTATTATCTAAGGCCCAAAGTACTGAAGTGGTAGAATTATAAACTGTTGTTGTGCATATTGTATAACTCTTAATTCTGTGAAATACAGTTTTTTTCATTTCTTCATTGAGGCTGTCCGCATGAGAATAAAAAATAACTTTTGGATGCTGAGATGAATTTATTTGGAATTTACTGCATTCCCATTTCACTCTCTTTGCCATTTCCCCTTTTCAAGATTGCTAGTAGGATCTGAGCGATCGCAGTTCTCCACGTGAATATGAGATGTGATCCCAGGGAACACTCTTTGCATTGGCAGCATTCTCCCGAGGACTTGTCCCTTAGAAATTGTACCACTGTATCTGATGGGATGGATGCAGACTAGTTTCACACAGAAGCCTGGTGAAAGCAAGAGGAGGAAAAACATCAGATGACTGGTGAAGCATTTGTTCATCTGTACTGTTTCAGAAATAGCAACATTTTCTGTCATGTCCTTTCCACTGAGAGAGCAATAGTGGAAATACCAAAATAGCAAAGACACTGTGGTCATAAAAAATAAACATAGTGGTTGGAGTTGTTGGCTTGGTGGAGGGGGGAAAGATGGGAGTCGGGGAGAAGGTGAGAATTACTGCTTTACTAAAAGAGAAGGGCTCAAAGGCATTCTACTGAACTCAATTATTCGCATTCTAACATAGGAGCAAGAAGTTCTGCATGTAAATGGACAGAAGATGCAGTGTTTCACAGCATGTACCTTGCTTAACTACTTGGTTAGCTGTGAGGTAATACATCTTCTGTGACCTCAAGACAAAGAAATATTAAATGAAAAATAGCTATTTACCTGATCCCCTGATTTGGACTCCATCATCAATGGCATTTCCATTGTGGAAGATTTTAATGGGTCCGGAGAGCTGGCCAGAAAAGGGAGCGTACACGGTTGCTCCATCACTGCAGATGACATCCACACCCCTGTGCTTTCCTTTACCATTTTGTCTAAACACAAATATGTAATTAGAGAAGTCTCTTGTCAGGCCTAACATTACACAGAGAGAGATCAGTTGGCATGCTACAGGATCTGGAAATGGGTTGTTTGTACTGAGATAGCGTTGACATATTTGCCTGGCTGAAGAACCTGTAAAGTTTTTTGGTGTAGATAATGGAATGCCGTGTAGGGCTGATGATCTGGTAGAGTTGCAGTTCTGCAAAATGGAGGAAAAAAGCGCCTTTCTTCCAAGCCTTTAAATATAACTGTGGAGTCACAGAAATGTTGCTTGGCAGGTACCTGTGGAGGACATCAAGTCCAGCCTTCCACTTGAGTCAAGACTATTCCCAACACCAGGTCAGGTCTGGCACAGCTCAGTCAGAGTCACAAAAACCTCCAAGCGCAGAAGTTTTATGAACAATATGGGCAACCTGTTCTGGTGCTGCATTACCCTAGTCAGAGTCACAAAAACCTCCAAGCACAGAAGTTTTATAAACAATGTGGGCAACCTGTTCTGGTGCTGCATTACCCCTGTAGTGAAAATGTTGCCTTATGTCCAACCTAAACCTTCAAAGCTGTAATTCTTAAATGGCTTAAACAGGTCAACTCTATTTCAGTGGAGTAGCAACAAAACCCTACGTGTTCCACTTTTACGGTACCTTGGAGCTCCGTAGTATCCGCAGCCATATCTATCACAGCCTCTTATCTCGTTTGTAGGATTCCCGGAGCACAGTGTTGCCCAGCGGCTGTCTTGTTGTGGGAATGGTGGAACAACTTTGAAATACAGAAACATAGCACAACATTATTAACTTTTAGGTTCTGTTTTAAGCATTGTGTGCTTGTAACTATTGTGTTTTAGTTAGGTAGGAGCATACTGGAATTACATCCCAGCATGTAGTTGGATGTCTCCTCCATAAAATGTCATCCTTTAGGAAATGTAAATAGAATGTACACCTATGACTGGATTGTAATGCTTCTAGATTAGGGTTATCTCATATAATGAACATGCTTTAAAGACACAAATTCAACGAGAGTATCATGGTTCCTAGGGTGTAATCTGAGGGTAGGAAAAGACCCAGTTTTGTTTCTTACTCTATGCCCAGGCTGAGGGGACTGGACTCTTCAAGTCTTCTCCCTTACTGCTAATGTAGTATTTGTATTTGCAAGGAATCATCCTAAAGTCTGCTCAGACACAATACTGAAATCATTGCTAGTAGTTAAAAAGGTATAAACAGAAGAGATGTCTGACTCAGTTTGTTGCTGAGACTTGATACTGCTGTGTCATGGGGAGGCGAGAAATACAACTTGATAAGCTGATATATTCTCCTTGCTGTAAATCTGTCTGCAGTCTTCTTATGCTGTATTTATAATGTGTATTTTTGTTCTTTCAGATGTTGCTTTCAGGGAAAACCGAAGACAGAGGGAACTATTGCTATTTGATGTTGTTGTCCTTACTTGAAATTAATTAGTAATGTAATTTTCATTCATTATGCTACTTATTCTGAGTTTTGGGTTTGTTTTTTTTTTACCAGGTGTAAGTTGTTGAGTAGGATCAGAGTGGTCACAGTTCTCAACATGGATGTGAGAGATAATGCCAGGAAATACTTTTTGCATTGGTAGCATCCTTCCCAGTTGTTGCCCTCGCTGGATTTGGCCGTGGTATCGGATGGGGTGAATACAGACAAGCTTTACACAGTAACCTGGAAGAGACGGAGGAGGAAGCGAGGTCAGGAAACATCAGCTGCATCTGTTCTTGCAGTGAGCAAGAAACCTTCCATGCTAGTCTTACTGGAGACGGTAATGATGAAGCAGAAATGTAGTCAAGGTACCAACAGTCCTGAAATGAAAATTACTTAGATTGCTATGGAAAAAGAGGAAAAGAGGGAGCTGGAAAATAGGGACAGGAAAACATCCTTTCAGCAAAATTGAGGGTGTATTTCTGATACCTTATGTTTACTGTGTCCTTTTTTTTTGATTTGGGATTGTTTGTTTTCCTGCAACCTGTTCCTCTCCCAGAAAAGCAGAGGCAAAGGAATGCATCCTGCTGGTGTCGATTTCCGATATTTCTGAGCAGCAGTCTAGTTGTGTTTCAATGTAGGAACTAGAGAGGGTGTAAGATTAATCAACACTTTGCTTGAATTGAAGAACCACAGAAACCTTGCTCAAGTAAATAAAATGATGACTGGTGCATGCTTCACAACATCTCTGCTGTTGCTACTTGCCTGATCCGGTGATTTGGACTCCATCATCAATGGCGTTTCCATTATGAAAGATTCGAATGGGTCCAGAGAGCTGGCCGCTGAAAGGAGCGTACACTGTCGCTCCGTCAGCACAGATGACATCTACACCTGTGTGCTTTCCTTTACCACTGTGTCTGAAAACATAAATGCATAATTACAGAACTGTCAGGCTTAACTTATGTAGAGATAGGTCAATTAACACGGTACAATATCTGAAGCTTGTCCAACAAAATTTTTGCATCTGCAATGAAATTGGAGAAAATAGTGGCTTCAGCCCACCTTTTAGTATTGCAAAATGTTTGTATTACTCTGACCCTCTTCAAAGAGGGATGAGATTTCAAATTTTAAGTATATTTTTATTTTCGCAAGTTCATGGGATATTTCAAACTCTTATAAAAAAGTACCTACTCTTCTATCCCAAAATACATCTTTGCCGGTATGAAATAGAATCCTGTGTTTGGCATTTTCTCTGTAGAAATTCGGAAGTTGCATGATGAGGAGGAAGGCTTCTCATAGAGCTTGGGGAGAGGAAATGAGAGGAAAACGCAGGGAAGGTAGGAGTTTTTCTACGTATAAAAACTTTGCATGGAAATATAACCTGATCTGTTATGAGGTGCTTGCTTAAAGACAATGATGCTGGCAGACCTTTAGCTCGTGTAAATTAATGTAATTAGCTGCCTGTAAGCTGTTGTTGAATGTTAGTTAAATGTCTGGTGTATATAAGCAACAAGAATGAATGACGCAAATCCTTGAAATACTTCCCATTTCCTTTACTATTCTGGCTGCTAATTCGTGTAGTGGTCTCACTCCTTCACCCATGCGTCACTTAGTAGCGGGGGTATCACTGCAATTCAGTGAGATTGCTGGTTAAAGTCCCCCAAAATGAGTAAGAAGTCCTGCAGACAACAGTCTTCTCTCATTCTAAGTGTCCACTGTGGTTAAACTCTACTCCTTCTCCCGTGTGACCATTTTATTTAGGAAAGCAACAGCAAACCCCACTGCTCCGGACTCCCCATGCCCCGCTGCGTTACCTGTCGGCACCGAAATGGCCACAGCCGTATCTGTCGCCGCGGTGTTTACAATTTCAGAAACTGTAGGTAAAAGAACATTGTACAACCTGTTCTATGGATTTGATCTCTTTTTCTAGAGGTCTGATTTTAAGACGCATACACTAAAAGCAAAGCAAAGCTAGGACTATTTCTATATTAGTTTGTGAAATAAGTCAAACTATTTTCACTTTCTTCATGAAACCTCTAAGCGTTTCAATATACGACTCTAAATGCACACCCCATTCCATCTTTTATAATAGCCATCACTGTGCACATTACCATAATTCTTTATAAAACTACACTAACAAAACTTAGCATTATTTGTTGGAGCACATGTCAAGAATTCATTAGCATCTGCCTAAAAACAGTCAAGACGATGTGCAATGTAGCCATCCCAACTCACCAGTGGACACCAAGGTGACCAGAGCGACCAGACTGAGAGCTGACATCTTGTGGCTGCTTCACCGGTGTTCTTTGATGGAATCAAAGACGTCGAGCAGTAGCTGCCTAGGGTATTTATGTGTTTTTGAAAGCCCTGGTCTGTTGCCTTGGCCAACCAGTTCTGAGCAAAGTATTACAGCTCTGGGTGGACGGTGTTGCCATATTAGGTGCTGAGGTTGTCTACAAACTCTTCAACTGTTGTTAGAGCTGGTTGGGAAAGATGGATAAAATCGTTGGTCTCTTAGCACACAGGAACGGATGGAAAGGAGCAATCCCACATTTCAGGAAGCTCTGGTTGAACCGTTTCTTAAGACCTTTTCTTCCCCCTCCTGAAGCAAGGGCACACTTAGGCCAAAAGTTGGGAAGCAAGAATGTGGTCCAGAGGATGGAGTTGGAGGGAACAGGTGGGCAAAACTCTGCAGTGTAGGTGACGGCCGTGTCCTTCCCTGCTCGTTCCAGTGCTTCCCTCCTCCCCAGGTGGACGTGCCCGTGAGAGCAGAGTGACAGAGAACAGAGGAAGGTGCAATGCTTGGGGTAGCATGAGCTTCACTTAGGCTGAGAAGTGTGGATGCTTTTGCAAGGAGGCTTGTTTTTTCCCCCGTTCATTTGAAATGTTCACCCAGTCTGTATTTAAATCCATGAAGTCTTTTCACCAAACCCCTAATTTTTGTTGACAAAATTCTTATTAAAACATTTTGTGACACAAACAGTTGTAAACCGCAGTTGCATGGCACAGTTGACATGGAATGAAGAACAAGTAAGTTTTATAATCGTTCACTTGGTCCCTGCTCAGTGCCAGTTATTGTACCATTAAGCAGGCTGGTTGGGGTCTCTTGTAGTTGTTCTTTCTGTTGAGTTTTTCTGTACTACTTACAGAAAAGACTTAGATTTTCTTTGTGGGCATTTCTTAGTTGATGTGAAATTAAAATGAGTCCTGGAGAAAGCCATCTGACATGCCAAGTTAAGGAAGCTCTGGCAGTCCTGCAGGTTTTCTTCGGAGGAGGAACAGATGTGTCTGTGCCACCCTTCTGACTTTGCAAAGAGCATCTGCACACTGCATTTTCTGGAAATCTCCACGGAACAAGCAGCTGGAGACAAATTTTTCAGTATGGGTGGCATGTTTTAGTGAAAATACCGTAGCAGAGAGATAGTAATGTATTTCCAAGCTTGATGAGCTTGATACTAGCTGCAAGAAACTTTTTTCCTACTGGAATCAAAACCATTTCAAAATAAAGACTTCATCTGGGTGATGTCTGGCCCTTCCCAGCTGTGGGATCTCCAGCAGGGTTTCTGCAATACTGGTTTCTCTACACCAGCGTTTATCCCTGGGATACTCCTGACTGCTGCTTCGCACTAGTAGTGTTTTCAATATCTCTTTATACAAATTTTACCTGGGGCAGACCTGCCTTGAAATCTAATGATTTTTATAGACCTTTGTGAACTGTCATGCTCCTAATTTTACCAGGGAAGGAATTGCAGCACCTCAGTCCACTCCATGGAGTCTTGCGAAGGAAAGGCTGGGTGTAAAGCCAGCCAGGCTGGTAGGCCTGAAGTAGGGAAGGACAACAGTTACAGGTGCACCGACACTGAAGAAGCTTTTCTCCAGTCCTCCTCTGCAGTCTGGTATTTTGTGAAATGGCTCTAAGTTAGCCATTCTTAGTGACTTTTTTTCATCTCTTTTGTGTTACAGAGCTGACTGCAAATTTCTTGTAGCTGTGTGCATTCCTGTGTTGGGCAACGGAGATGTTAATAGAACAGTTGGTAGGTGCGGTTGCGAAAGACGCGAACGGGCCGCTTGGCACACTCTAACCGAAGGATATGGAACAGCCGGCGGCGTTGCAGAGCCCCGGGAGCCGCGGCGGCAGGCACTTCTTCCCCTTCTCATGGGCTGAGCCAGAGGGCAGCGGGCAATGGGCAGTGTTGGGGCTGATAGCAACAGGCAGTGAATGAGCTGAGCGTGATGGTGTCCAGGAGAAATCCCTGTCTTGCTGTTTAGCCTTTCCAAAGGTACTGTGACTCTGCTGTGTACATGATGTCACGTGTCAGGAGGGTCCACTGGCACTTGCCAGAGCTTTTGGATAGATGGTACCTGCCATGTGTGTGTCCGTAAACCTTGCAATCGTTAGACTGTTCCCTCTTAATGTATTAATTATCTTAACGTTATATCTAAATGAGAAAATGATAGAATGATAGAAGAAGTTTTTTGGATGAAAAAAAGCCAGAAAACTGTGAGACACATCTGGGTATTGGTGGTGGAGCCTTTGAGCAGCAACATTGGAAAAAGACAGGGCCAAACCCTGTGCCTGGGCAAATCCAACCCCCAGCCAAGGCCCATGGTTTTCTTCCAGCTGTGCTGCCTTCCTCTGCTTGTTGCCCACAAGTGAGGGCTGGTTTCTCCATCATTGCCATTACTCACGTTTCAACTCAATGGGATTCAACCAACGTTCAAAACCTGATGATCTGGTCCTTAAAGCCCTTCCTCTTTGCAACCTCTGTGGGGCTGCAGCCCCCAGGGCATTGGACAAATAAGAGGAGCACATCTTATTTCTTGGTAATGCTATAGTATTATAATTGTAGGTTTTCCAGGTTTGTTAGCAGGCAAGTGAAAAGGTAAATCATCTTCCTAGTTGTATTTTACAGAACAGTTGGCTTTGTCCTTCTTGGCTAGCCCAGTGTGTTCAGCATGGGAACAAGTCAATGCTGAGCACTCACCTCCCAGCTGATCTGTGTACAATATGTTATTACAGAATCTTAAAAGCTGTTTCTCTGGAAAATAAATAACATATTTTGTGCTCATCATTAAAAATTAAATTGTGATTTAAAAATCAACTGTCGAAGAATTTAGTTGTGCAATTAGCAGCACAGGCTTTCATGGTGAAAATCAGACTGGCACAATGTAAAATAAATTGCACCCGCTGTCCATTCAGGCTTCTGGTCAGTTGATGAAGCTGAGATAGGAGGAATTTTGCCACAAAGATTAGTGAAGCTTTGTGTACGCGGCTTTTACTGCAGTGTCGCCGGGACATCAGCAGGTTGCGCTCGCTGATCAGCCAAAAGGCAGGGTTGGGCATGTCACGGTAAGCAGCTAGCAGGCTGCAGGAGATGTGAGCATGCTGCCTTTCTTCTTAGCTCAGTATGAGCTGAAGCTGTGCTGGTGCACAATTCTGGTTGAAGACTCCATCTCAGATTTATTTTGCCGTTTTAATATAGTTGCTAAGCCAGAGTTAGGCAGGTTTGGATGGGGAGGAGGGAGGAAAACAAAATAAATTCTTTTTGCAACCGATGTCCTGTCCTGTGGGGAGGACAAAGCTCTGGCTGAACCCTCCAAAAGTCCTTTAATGCTTGTGGAAATAGAAGGGAACGGTGCAGATTTGGTTTGCAGCCTTAGGCAGATGGGACTTTTGCAGTTTGTGATTCCAGCTTATCTCTCTGGGAAGAAAAAAAGCACTTCTGCATGACCCGAGTTTGCCAGCTCTTTCCTGAAAAGCCTAGTTGCCCCCTTTACTTCCCCCAGCACCCTTTCCCCTCACCTTGAATATTTCGAGAACCATGTATTTTACCAGCCCTTTATCTCCTTCCCAGAGTCAGCTACAAATTGTACTTGCCCTTCTTCTACAGCCACTTAGTTTTTTACTAGACTGAAAAGATAAAGCTGGATTTACTCAGAGTGTTTGCACCAACTGCTCTGTAACCTAGAACAGAAAGTGGTATTTGCTTTTTCTCCTCTTCTGCTAGGTGACAGCCCCAGCTAAACCTACAAGTTTTAGCATTTGCTCTCTACCTCTCTCAGGCACCTGCAGGAGCATCCTCATCCCTGTACCAAAGCACTGCACCTCACCACACTGCCAGAAAAACTCAGATTAAAAAATAGGTGGCTGAAGAGGTTTGTGAAACCAGTCTGTGGAGACAGGCCAGAAAAGTGTCATTAATGCACAGGTGAAAACGAGACTTGCGGAGGAGCAAACCTGGTGAGCTGGGAGCAGCTCTGTCCCAAGCTGGGGGACCACAAGTCCCTGGGAGCGAGCCCCGCTGCGGGGTCCCCTGGGCTGCAGGAGGGCAGGATGCCATGCTGAGGGCAGGGAGAAGGCAGACTGGGGTCTCCCAGTGCTGGTCTGCCGTTCACGTCCCTCCCAGGGCCCTGGTCATACCCGTGTGCTCTGCTTTAGAAAGGAGGCAAGGCGATTTCTGGTCCCTGTTAACAGGTTCCTGATGCGTACAACAGCTGAGGGAGGGGGAAGGAGACAAATGTGACCCAGGGAAGAGCTTAGCTGTCTTTGCTAGGGAAAAAAAAGTGTTGGATCATGTTTTCTTTGCCATACAAAGACTAAAAGCAAGTGAAAATGTTAATTTTGCGATAGAGTGTATTAAGGCTGGAGGCTCGGTGCCCTGCTCAGTCAGCAAGGTCGGCTCAGTGTTTCGTTAGGCTTTGCACAGAGAAGTGGGGGCTTGATTGGGACTTTCCCTGTTCAAATATGAGAAGTTGATAACTGGGTTAAGAACTGGGATTTTAACCAAGTGAAACTTAGGTGGAAGTGTTTCTTTTCTGCAGGCAAACACCTTCATGACAAAAATTAAAAAAAGGTGGTCAATACTGGAAAACCCTGGGGACTTTTGCTGAGATGTTTCTGCTTTCAGGTTAAGGAAGAGGTTTTTTCACAGAAAACTCAGTTGTCTTGACTCACCATCAGTGTTGGGTTGTAGTCTGCCTCTGTGGGTTTGGGCTGTATATTTGTATGGACGTGCTGATGTTTCATTTATAGCACAGTTAAGTGGTTCTTGGGGAAGGTGAATGGGACACGGGAGGTTAAGTGCTTTACACAGATGTAGCAAATACGTTTTTGTAGTTTCTTAGAAAAGACAAATCTGCTGTCAGGACATACACAGCTCCCACGGAAGCAGCTTCCCTGCTTACTCCAAGCTGCAGTTGCGTTAGAAAATGCGTGAGCCTGCAGCCCTTGTAGAGCACTTTAGCCCTTGAGCCTCCCAGTAGCATGTTGGTAGCCTTGGCCTGAAAAGCCCTGTCCTGCTAACAAGAGCTTGTTGTCCTGGGAAAGTCTTTAGCTGATTTATTAATGGAAAGAAATGCCTCACTTGGACAGAAAGAAACCTGGGTGTGCCAAGGCAACCCTGAAGCAGGAGTCTGGGGAACAGGAATGAGTTACTTCATTAATGTTGTTTTATTGTTTTTCTGATGAGCCCCAGGAAAGATTTGGATTTCAGCTTTATATAGGTTTTTTCTCCCCAGCTGCATTAAAAATGCCAAACCCAGCCCAAACTCTGTGACAGCACCAAAGAAATTCAAAGCAATTTGTAGTGAAGCAGCCCTTTAATAATGGGATTTTCCATATGCAAGCACAAGTGAAATTTCTGGCTCACTGAAGAAATCTTCGTGTTTGTCTGCAAAGAGAGCAGAGCAGTCCAAGACGAGTGAGCTGGAGCAGGGCTCGCTGCGGTGCTGCTGAGCACCGAGGATCCCGCGCCTGCCAGCCACTCGTCCGTTCCCCACCGCGTCGGCCTTCACCTACCAGCGCAGTGAGGAGCACGATACGACAGCGGCTATGAAGCACGTGTTGTGCCTTACTCTGAGGCTGCTGCTGTTCGGATAACCACCAGCGTTCTGTTCGTGGACACTTTTTGGTGGCACAGCTATGTGAGGCTCAGTGGCTTCCACTTTATACTAGAGTGACTACCTATGCCCAAGCAATTTAGTGAATACACAAGTGCGGGGCTGAAGGCTTTGCCCCGCGTGCGCAGCCTCCCGTTTACAGATTGCGCGTAGGATCTGTTAAGTCACAGTTCTGGATGTGGACATGGGACGTAATTCCCCGGTAGACCCTTTGCATGGGCAGCAGGACGCCGATTTCCTCTCCCCTCTTGACGGGGCCACTGTACTTGACAGGTTTGATGTAAAACATCTTAATGCAGAATCCTGTTAACAGGGGAGAGAAAAGAGGGGGAAACTGTTGCTCCTCTGCAGTGGTTTAAAAGCCTGGCAGTGTCAGAATGTTCAGTAGCAAAATACAAATGACAGCAAAATGAGAAGGGATTCAGCAGCAGCAGAAGTTACGGGTAAAGCTGTGATGCTTCTACAGCATCCAGAGGAGAGAATGGGAAAAGAGAGAAACGAACGTGGAAGAGGGTGGGGAAGGGGATTAAGGTGGGTGAAACTGCAGGAGCAAGGCACAGGCTGGTCCTTTAATTGTCCAAAATGTGCAAAGAGACCAGCTTCATCCTTTGATTTTTATTTTTTTTTCAATCTAGGTAAACTGCTGTAATCTTTTCAACCACTTTTTCCTGCATGAACAGGACCTGGATGTTGAAGTTACAGTTGTCCCTCGGATCCACGTGCAAGCGCACTGCGGTTCCGGTTGGGTTCACGGTTTTTGGCTCAGTTTACAGCTCTATAAACGAATCAGAGCAGTTTGCAGTCAGGCTTTGCAAGACGCACGTGTTTCAGCTCCGGTACCTGATCCTGAAAGCTGGAGTCCGTTGTCGATGGCGTTGCCGTTGCCGTAGGGCCTGGCTTGTTTGTCGATCTTCCCCGTGAAGGGCGCGTACACCACCGAGCCGTCCTGGCACACCACGTCCACTCCCCTGTGCTGCTTCGATCCTCTGAAGAAGCAAAGCAAGGCAGGTTAGCCTGCGTCGGTGCGCCCTGCCAGCTAGAAACCCTCCTCTCTCCCATTTTATCGTGCTTATTTCTATTTAAGAAAGTTTCAAGTGCAGCCATCCCCCATCATCCCAGCCCAGGACCTGGGGTCATTGTATCCACCGCAGCCCTGGGAGTCACAGCCTCTGATTTTGTTTGCAGGTTGACTTGAGCAGATTTTTGCCCATTGTGCTGAAGCAGCTAGAAGAGAACAAAAGAGAAGAACAGAAGATGAGACCTACAAGCTAGAACAGGGATTTCCCCGCCTGTGTTGTTTAATCAATATTAAGGCCCCTTTGCACTTTGCCGTAACCATGGATCAGGCTTCAGGGAAATAGAAAGTTGTTCACCTTTTAATGCAAGTTAATTTTAGGGATGCAATAAAACAGCATTTTTTTTGTTTTCTACTTTGTCCAATGACGTTTGATGGTACTTAAAGCAGCAACTTCAAAGCAAAAATGCGGAACAAATAGACCTGGAGGGGACATCACGGAGTGAGCCATTCCTCTCCCATCGCCCCAGGCAGATGTGCTGTGCTGCATTCACAGGGCAGGCGTTGGGCTGGAGCTCTGGGGTGTCTCTGCCTGGAAGGTGACCTCAGCCACCCAGGATCTTCGGATGCTGAACTCTAACTGTAAAAAACAAGGCTGAGAGACCCACCAAGTCCATTCCTGTTCCCTAATGTGGGATCCAGTCACAAACACAAGCTGTCCTCTACCTCTTATTAATTGTTTTTCTATCTCCCGGTGTTTCTATATCACTGTTTCAAAGCAGAAGTCAGTAGGGTAACATCCTCCCATGTTTTTATTCCAGACTCCAGCTATCGTCACCCACAGTCAAACCCTCGCTGATCCTACAGCCCCAGCGTGGACAGAGGGAAGACATTTACAGGGGAGAAGGGGGGAAGGGCAACCCCTGACTTGGTACCTCCTACGACCCTCTAACAGCCCTGCTATCCCCACCAAAACTACTGGGGTTTCCCATGGGATGCTCCAGCAAGAATGGGACTGATCGAGCAAGAAGGAGCAAGTTGAGGTTTCTTCACGTGTGGGAGCAGCTCGGCAGGCACCAGCCCGATGGGCGCTGGGAGCACACGAAAGCAGGGGAAATGATGTGCTGGCACTGAAGGTCTGGTGGTAAAAGGGTGCAGGAAATCTCTAACGCCTTCCTCAAGCAAAGCAGCCCTTTGTTCTAGGTAGTCTTCATTTATTTTGATGTATTCTGTATTCTTTGTGAAATCAAAGGTGATGACATTAAACACAGAAACATCTCTGGGAACACTCTGTGCTCAGCAGGCCGAACTTTAAATCAAAGGCTTTTAAGAAAACATGCATGCTGTTAGTAATTGATATGCCTCAGCTGTGTCTTTCTTATTCAATCAACACTATTACTCCAACAAAATTTTGCCACAATGCTTTACCATATCTAAGAAGAATTTTTCCGTGGACGTCTCTATGCAACGGCAGAGTGGTTATATTCAAAAGGAAAAAATGGCAGGGAACAAATCAGTTGCTAAATCTGTACAGATACACTTCATTAAAAAAAAAAAAGGAAAAAGAAGAGAAAGAAAAAGAAGGCAAGTTATAATGAGCAAGGTTTACCAAAATTCAGCTAACTCACCACTGGAGATTGCAAGCGCGAGGACGACTGCTGTGACTCTGTGCATTTTCATGTGCCTTGAGAGCTCTGCTTTCAAAGTGAAAGGTCTAAAATACTTTGCTTTCTATTTATACATCCCAACAGAGGCTGTATCCAAATTTTTCCAGCCAATCAGAAAATGTACGTGGCCTCAGTTCTTTCGCTTGCGGACTCAGGCCAGCAGCGAGAACTGACAGCAGCCCTCGAGGTGTGCCATCAGCCTGGCTAATTGGCGCTGCAGAGGCTCCGACCTATTTAGCAATAGCAGCTACATGGGTTGGTTTGCTTTTGTTTACAAAGGAACCATGAATATTAAATCCAAATTTTAAGGACAATTTGTAACTTTTTCTTCATTCCTGCCTATTGCACAATCCTGAAGTTTAACAAGATAACTTGGGCAGAGAAAGGGAAAAGAGTTCAAATGAACTTAAAAAAATATCTGGGCAGACAGATACCTTGCCCTCCCACCATGGCTGTTGCTTCATGGAGCAGGAGTTCAGCCAGGTGGGCACAGCTCTGTACCACGCATCACACCCAAGCTCATGCTGGAAAAATTGGATTAGGCAACCTGTGAAATGAGACCTTTGTACCCCATTTTTATTAGCCAACTTCATTAATGCATCCCAGATACTGTCATGTTGCTGATGATGAGCCGTGAACGTTAACAGTGGGAGAGACACATGTTTACAATCTTTTCTGAGCTCGAATGGAAAATGCTATAAACCCTGTAATATTGTGGCTGGGCAAAATTACAGGAAATTGAAGAAGAAGAGAACACTGGAGCACGAACGAGGCCACCTCGAGTGTTGTTTCTGGGAGGGGAGGGAACGCAGTGCCCTGGTTTACAGCCAGGAGCTGGAAGTTGTTTGTCTTCTCGGCTCTTCATCCACCCGGTCTGTGCCACTGGGACCCACTGCTTGTTTTGTTTCCCTGTGCAATAAAACCCGAGAGCCCAAGTTAGGTACAGCTTTGGGTCACGGCTCTCAGCTAGGATGCTGTGCCCTTGCCGTCCCTCTTGTGGCACCAGATGGGTGAAGACTGGCCTTACATCCCGAAACCGAACCAAGAGCAGTTCTGCTGCACAGGATTCAAACCCATCTTTGCCAGAGATGGAGACATCTGCTGCCGATGGATGCTGCTCCACAGAAGTTGTATTTCATAGCTCATCGCTATGTGCATATTTCTGTTTTGTCCTTAAGACATCTTAACAGCATTGTACCTGGCTCTGTTCTTTCTAAAACATGTCAAGATGCCATTTGCTACAATAATATCTCTAATGCACTTCTGGTAAAGGACATTTAATGAAACAGTTTTCAAGCGTATGATCTAGCTGTTGAGATTTCTCCGTGTGTTCCCCATCTTTCTTGGGTGAGCTGGAGGGTGCAGAGCTCTTCCTTTGGGCCTGAGGAAGCTCTGACCCAAAGTTGGTGGCATTCCTGTGTTGGGCAACGGAGATGTTAATAGAACAGTTGGTAGGTGCGGTTGCGAAAGACGCGAACGGGCCGCTTGGCACACTCTAACCGAAGGATATGGAACAGCCGGCGGCGTTGCAGAGCCCTGGGAGCCGCGGCTGGAGCAATTTCTCACAGCGAGAGCAGGGCGGGTGGCTTGGGGAGTGCTGACTTCTTGCTCTTGTGTGAGTTCCCTGATTTGCCCCTTTCATGTCAGTAGTGTCTTCCCTGGCTGTGTAAGTCCCACCGAGGTCTTCTCATGGGCTGAGCCAGAGGGCAGCGGGCAATGGGCAGTGTTGGGGCTGCTGCCAACAGGCAGTGAATGAGCTGAGCGTGATGGTGTCCAGGAGAAATCCCTGTCTTGCTGTTTAGCCTTTCCAAAGCTACTGTGACTCTGCTGTGTACGTGATGTCACGTGTCAGGAGGGTCCACTGGCACTTGCCAGAGCTTTTGGATAGATGGTACCTGCCATGTGTGTGTCCGTAAACCTTGCAATCGTTAGACTGTTCCCTCTTAATGTATTAATTATCTTAACGTTATATCTAAATGAGAAAATGATAGAATGATAGAAGAAGTTTTTTGGATGAAAAAAAGCCAGAAAACTGTGAGACACATCTGGGTATTGGTGGTGGAGCCTTTGAGCAGAAACATTGGAAAAAACCAGGGCCAAACCCTGTGCCAGGGCAAATCCAACCCCCAGCCAAGGCCCATGGTTTTCTTCCAGCTGTGCTGCCATCCTCTGTTTGTTGCCCACAAGTGAGGGCTGGTTTCTCCATCATTGCCATTACTCACGTTTCAGCTCAATGGGATTCAACCAACGTTCAAAACCTGATGATCTGGTCCTTAAAGCCCTTCCTCTTTGCAACCTCTGTGGGGCTGCAGCCCCCAGGGCATTGGACAAATAAGAGGAGCACATCTTATTTCTTGGTAATGCTATAGTATTATAATTGTAGGTTTTCCAGGTTTGTTAGCAGGCAAGTGAAAAGGTAAATCATCTTCCTAGTTGTATTTTACAGAACAGTTGGCTTTGTCCTTCTTGGCTAGCCCAGTGTGTTCAGCATGGGAACAAGTCAATGCTGAGCACTCACCTCCCAGCTGATCTGTGTACAATATGTTATTACAGAATCTTAAAAGCTGTTTCTCTGGAAAATAAATAACATATTTTGTGCTCATCATTAAAAATTAAATTGTGATTTAAAAATCAACTGTCGAAGAATTTAGTTGTGCAATTAGCAGCACAGGCTTTCATGGTGAAAATCAGACTGGCACAATGTAAAATAAATTGCACCCGCTGTCCATTCAGGCTTCTGGTCAGTTGATGAAGCTGAGATAGGAGGAATTTTGCCACAAAGATTAGTGAAGCTTTGTGTACGCGGCTTTTACTGCAGTGTCGCCGGGACGTCAGCAGGTTGCGCTCGCTGATCAGCCAAAAGGCAGGGTTGGGCATGTCACGGTAAGCAGCTAGCAGGCTGCAGGAGATGTGAGCATGCTGCCTTTCTTCTTAGCTCAGTATGAGCTGAAGCTGTGCTGGTGCACAATTCTGGTTGAAGACTCCATCTCAGATTTATTTTGCCGTTTTAATATAGTTGCTAAGCCAGAGTTAGGCAGGTTTGGATGGGGAGGAGGGAGGAAAACAAAATAAATTCTTTTTGCAACCGATGTCCTGTCCTGTGGGGAGGACAAAGCTCTGGCTGAACCCTCCAAAAGTCCTTTAATGCTTGTCGAAATAGAAGGGAACGGTGCAGATTTGGTTTGCAGCCTTAGGCAGATGGGACTTTTGCAGTTTGTGATTCCAGCTTATCTCTCTGGGAAGAAAAAAAGCACTTCTGCATGACCCGAGTTTGCCAGCTCTTTCCTGAAAAGCCTAGTTGCCCCCTTTACTTCCCCCAGCACCCTTTCCCCTCACCTTGAATATTTCGAGAACCATGTATTTTACCAGCCCTTTATCTCCTTCCCAGAGTCAGCTACAAATTGTACTTGCCCTTCTTCTACAGCCACTTAGTTTTTTACTAGACTGAAAAGATAAAGCTGGATTTACTCAGAGTGTTTGCACCAACTGCTCTGTAACCTAGAACAGAAAGTGGTATTTGCTTTTTCTCCTCTTCTGCTAGG